CATATATACACGGCGACAATAAATTAAGGTGATTTAACGCAACTTACCTCTATACTAAGTTCTACCCATGAGGAGTTATAGGCCTGCAAAGTTGGCTCTTAAATTTTTAAAACATTCAATATCTTAATAATATATTAAGCTAGAAATTTGATATACGTTATGAATGTACAAAAAATAATAATTGGTAGCAAGTTGAGTTCAATTGAGGCATTTCATAGGGTTGATTATGGGTGATGGCTTCCAAAAGTTGGACAGACTTTTTTAACCTTTTGGCGGATTTAATACATTATTACCTCATTTCATGTAAAATTTAATTCTAAAACTTTATTTACTCTTATTATTTTTTAAAAAACTATGTCAAAGTTTACAAATTTAAAGAGTTAGAGATTTTAAAGCAGTTTTGAAGAAAATGGGGGACAATTTTGCCTTTTATGTTTCAATACTGGATATCTCAGAAGTACCAGGAGTACCAATATTTTCTTCACCTATATTTGTTAAATACTGTTGTTCCGATTCTTTTATGCTGGTAGCAAAATCTTCATAATTTCAACTCAATATACAACATGGATTCCATGAATACTTTTTACACGAATTATCTGCAGGCGACATTTTATTTACTGTTAGGTTGTCAAAGGCAAACTTGTCATTGATCGCCAACGAAAATGTTTGGAATATGCTTTATTCCAAAATTAAATCATACTTAAACTAAATTTAGTTTTGATACTATAAAAGTTTGTAAAGTTTAGTTTTCTTCAATCTTTTGAGTGTGCTGCGAAATCTTGCATTACTTCATAGACTTATTTGATTACGAGGTCATTATACAGTTCTTGATTGGGTACATAAAGATAAGTGTTGGTAATAAATTTATTTGACTGCGTTGGATGATCAATTAATTGGATGGTATCTGGAAGACCAGATGGCTTAATTATGGACTGATAAACTTGTCTCTTTGATCGCAGATCATGTTGGAATCATCTACTGACATTTGTCTACTTTTGTGTCTAATCTGCTCAGCTTTCGTCTAACATGATGCTTCAACCTCAGTCTGCCATCAAGGTGGAGACCGAAATATTTTGTTGATTCTGCTTGAGAAATAGTGAAGAAAAGTATTTTGCAAGTTTTTCCACGGCTTTCATTTCAGTTGAGTCTTTTATCATAACAACTGTATAATCAGGGAATGTCTAACACTATCTTGACACTATCTTGTGGAACTTCAGCCAAGATCGGTTTGAATGTTGAGTATTCCTCTTCATGTGACTCCAAACTCACTTCTCAGGAAGATATGATTCTAGTAGTTGACAACACTTTCCCAACTTATAGACAACTTTTCTTGCTGATGTCAAACACCTGTTAAAACAGAATTTTTCAATAACAGCATTCTTAATAACGGTGGTCACTTTATGCATTTGATCTATTCTATGTAGAATGGCGATTGCGAAATCCATACCAGAAATCTGGTATGTTGATGATGTTTTAACAATAATCTTTCAAAGAATTAAGCATAGTTATCTGCGCCATCTTAAAAGATTGCGGAACATGCTTCAGTCTCAAGAAAGCATTAAACATGTAAGTCGACATGATTGCTTTTCTTGCAGCTCTTTTAATAAGCTAGGTGAAATTTCAATGGAAGAAAACTTAATCACAATAAACAATCTTTTTGGCGTGCTTTTAACGCACCGTGAAAACAAGTTATACACACGTTCGACTTGACCAAAAGTTCGGACTCGACTTCATTGTTTTTCTATGGGTCTTCCTAAGGTCCAGCTAATTTTTCAAACTTTATTAATTTAGGATGCTATTCCACTAAATCGTGGAATCGACTCATTAGCTAGCAAAGTGACACTTTCACCATGTTAAAACTACCCATTTTCGCTTAGGAGCCATAGTAGGTACTAGTGATGGATATCCGGTTATCCGGCATATCATTATGGTTATAACTTCTGGTGCATTTCTGAAGTGATACCACACATTGCCATAAAATTCAAAAAAATTGTCGATTATTTAAAAAATCTATTTCTCAAGAACTGAAAGTGATTTTTCAAAACGGCTTGTTGCATTAAAAAGAGGATACTTTAATTAACAATTGGTGATATTTCCACAAGGATAATTCATGAAATTAATTTTATAACGAATTTTAAAAGTTATTGATGAACATTGTAACATCGAAAATTTTATCAAAACTTCAAATATTGTTTTCTCAAAAACGAAAAGTTATTTTTCAAAACGACTTTTTGCATTAAAAAGAAGATACTTTAATTAATAATTGGTGATATTTCCATAAGGATCCTTCAAGAAATTAATTTTATAGCGAATTTTGCAAGTTATCTACGAAAATTGCAACGTCGAAAATGTTATCAAAACTTCAAATATTGTTTTCTCAAAAACTGAAAGTTATTTTTCAAAACGTGTTGGTTCATTGGAAAGAGGACACTTTTATTAACACTTTGGAAAATCTTCATACTCATATTCCAAGAACTGGATTTGATACGAATTTTTAAAACCTAATCGGCGAAAATTTAACAATTCCAAAAAATTGTCGATCATTTCAAAAATTTATTTTTCAAGAACTGAAAGTGATTTTTGAAAACGGCTTTTTATATTAAAAAGAGGATAGTTTAATCAACAGTTTGGGAAATTTTCATACTGATATTCCAAGAACTAGATTTTATCCGAATTTTTAAAACTTAATCGACTAAAATTGCAAAATTCGAAAAATTGACGATTATTTCAAAAATTTATTTCTCAAGAACTAAAAGTGATTTTTCAATACGGCTTTTTGCATTAAAAAGAGGATACTTTAATTTATAATTGACGATATTTCCACAAGGATACTTCAAGAAATGAATTTTGTGCGAATTTTGAAAGTTATCGATGAAAACTGTAACATCGAAAATTTTATCAAAACTTCAAATATTGTTTTCTCAAAATCTAAAAGGTATTTTTCAAAACGTGTTGGTTCATTGGAAAGATGACTCTTTTATTTAACACTTCAGGAAATTTTCATGCTCATATTCCAAGAAATGGATTTTATACGAATGTTTAAAACTTAATCGGCGGAAATTGCAAAATTCGAAAAAAAGTCGATTTAAAAAATTTATTTCTCAAGAACTAAAAGTGAGTTTTCAAAACCCTTTGTTGTATTAAAAAGAGAATACTTTAATTAATAAATGGTGATATTTCCACAAAGATCCATCAAGAAATTAATTTTATAGCGAATTTTGAAAATTATCGATGAAAATTGCAACATCGAAAATTTTATCAAAACTTCAAATATTGTTTTCTCAAAAACAAAAAGTTATTTTTCAAAACGGGTTGGTTCATCAAAAAGAGGATACTTTAATTAATAAATGGTGATATTTTCACAAGGATCCCTCAAGAAATTAATTTTATAGGGAATTTTGAATATTATCGATAAAAATTGCAACATCGAAAATTTTATCAAAACTACAAATATTGTTTTCTCAAAAACTAAAAGTTATTTTTCAAAACGGGTTGGTTCATTGGAAAGAGGACAGCTTTATTAACACTTTGGGAAATTTTCATACTCATATTCCAAGAACTGGATTTTATACGAATTTTCAAAACTTAATCGGCAGAAATTGCAAAATTCGAAAAAATTGTCGATTATTTCAAATTTTTTTTTCTCAAGAACTAAAAATGATTTTTCAAAACGGCTTTTTGCATTAAAAAGAGGATACTTTAATTAATAATTGGTGATATTTCCACAAGGATCCTTCAAGAATTTAATTTTATAGCGAATTTTGAAAATTATCGATGAAAATTGCAACATCGAAAATTTTTTCGAAACTTCAAATATTGTTTTCTCAAAAACTAAAAGTTAGTATTCAAAACGGGTTGGTTCATTGGAAAGAAGACACTTTTATTAACACTTTGGGAAACTTTTATACTCATATTCCAAGAAGTGGATTTTATACGAATTTTTAAAACTTAATCAAACTTAATAAATAAAGTTGTATTAAATGAAAGAAGTCTTATTGGGGTTGAACTTGATTATTATCGGTAGCGTCCAACACCTAAAAAAGATACTAATTCCTGAGAATGTTACCGGATATCCGTTCCACCATTAGTAGGTACTAAAGAAAAGATAACTGCGTTTCCGTTTGGATTTCACCGGATTTGTTCTTAATTTTTTTCAGCGCATTTGTTTTTATCTCAACATGAGTTTATATTTCCAAAAAGAAAAGAAAAGTTATTTCTAAAATTGTGTGTAGGCCATTTCAATTAATTTAACACATTTTAATGTATATCGATACTTTTTTTAGTTTTAATATAGGCACAATACGTAAAAATTTAAATTAAAAACAAATAAATCAACTAATTAAAAATCATATTTATTCAAGGAACACTTCTCATCTTCTTAAATGTTTTGAATTCGTGCCTAAGTGGCGTTTAAAGAATTCTTTATCCAACTGAATCGGAAGATGAAATAGGCACGAACCACAAATAAAAAAATAAGAACAAAACTTTTCCCCGTTCGTATTTCTTGTAACTCGTTGAAAATAAAAAAAAAATAAATCTTGTATATATACATTTTAGAACAACAATAATCGTTAAGAAAGTTTCTGAAGAAACCCACATCCATAAAAGACAATAGCTATATGTAGTGGAATTTTCCCCTACTACCGGAAGAGGAAATTTCGTACTCGAAAACAGTCGAATGTCGTTAAAGCGCTGAAAATACCGCTTGCCAACTCCGATTACTGCGAATCTAAACAAGTTTAAGAGCCCCGCAAAAATAATTAAATCCGAGAAATATATCATTACAGCCTTTCTACGGGAGGAAGCCTTGGTATTGAAAGGTTGAAAATTGAGCTTAAAGCTCTGATAGCTTTCGGTTGACTTTCGATTGCGATTCGTCGCGTAGCAACTCCTGGGGTTGTAGGTGTGGCGTATAAAGTTTTCAGCCAATCCTGATTGGGAATCGTGCGCGCGTCGATTCCACTGTAATACACACGTCTAATGTTGCTGTAATGTTCAGATATTATTAGGATAATACTTTTCAAATCGTTTAGTCTATCAACACCTACAGTAAACGTAACAACTGGTCATACAGATTCTCTTAATAATATTTCGTTTATATATCAATTAGTTCAATTACTATAAAGACTTTACATTAAAAAAAAAAAATAATAGTTATTATAAGCGCGCAAAATTTAAAATTTACAAATATATATATATAAAAACATATATATATATATACACATAAAGTGTTTGTTTGATGTTGTGATGACACATTATTTGGAAGAAACATCTCACCACATGGTTTTAAATCACGAGTATCAGCCGAAACCGCTCAATATGGATACTAAGATTCAAGATCAAAATAAAGGGTCCTTTTGTATAGATGCTTTATTATCGAGAGAAGACCGTCCAACATCTCCGGATACGTCTCGGAGTATTTCGCCGACGTCTACCAGAAGTACCAGTCCGCCGATTTCGCCAGGTAGCGAAGAAATTCCGCCGAATCCGTTTGTCCCAAGACCCGGTCTTCTCAATCAAATCTATCCGAATAGTGGAGCGTTTTATGGATACCCACAAAGTCAAGGATCTGCGTTTCATAGTATCGACGGAAGTATGGTACAAAAAGTCCAATTACCGGTTGGTCATCACAATCATAATCAACTTCAACAAATGCAACTTGAATGGTTAGCGAGAACGACCGGGATGTTTTACCCAAGATTACCAGATTTAACAGGTAAGTTATTTTTAATAAAAAAAAAATGTTTATTTATTTATTTATTCGCGATAAATTCTGCATTCAGATTAGCGGTTAAATACGCGCATAAAGATTGTAAATACAAACTCGATAATCTTATATACATAATGTGACTAGTGCCTAGGTTCAATGGGTTACATTATATTTATACGCGCGTCCTGTTTCAAAATATCTATAAATGTTGATTTTTCGAAGAATTTTTCTAGAATAGAAGTGTTACTTTTAAACTTATCTTTGATGTTGTTGATTTATGCTTCGAAGAGGGTATGTTAAATTTATTTTAAGTAGGTAAGTTATGTTAATATTGATTTGATTATTTCATAATAGATAATAAATATAAAATGTAATCTTAAAATATTTTTAAAGAAAATCAACATACTTCATATATTTGATATGCAGATAAATTTTTGTTAAAATTTAAATAGAAATCTTTTTTATATCAAATTATTTAGTTTCTTCGTTTCGTCATCTGTTTTTGAATTGGGATCTTGTTCTAAAAATAATAATTGTGCTTCAGATTTTGATGCAAATAACTTAACAATAGTTTCAGTTAGGGCTAAGTATTTGACCATATATTATGAAACTTTATCCTTATTTGGTGAAGATGTGATCCTATTACTTCCATAAAAGTTATCATATTGCGATAATGATCAACATTAATAGTTGTGTAATAGTCTTAGTTTTGACATTATCGCTGATGATAATTTCCTTTGCAATGACGCAATAGATTTTATATTGTTTTAACATATCAATTAATTAATCAATTGTTTTAATAATTCATGAAAGTACAAATCTATCCATTCGCCATGAGGAGTTCCTCGTAATATTATTATTCTTGTAATGCATAGGTTATGCAAATGTGGGATGAAAATGATTTTGTTGGAGACAAGCATTTTAGCATCAATTCTGATTGAGTTTCGACATTCTTTAGTTGACAATCAACTTCAATTCCAGCTTATTATTTTTTTGAAAATTACATTGAGTGTGTAATTCCTACATAATAGTGATGGAACGGATAGATATTTTGCGACAAGCCGAATACCGAATATTCGGCATACACTTCGGCGGGATATCCGGTTATCCGACATATCTATCCGGCCATTATAGTTATAACTTCTGGTGTATTTCTGAAGTGATACCCTACATTTATTTGTTTATTTATTTACAATTTTTTTTTTTGATCCAAGATACAAAATGAACTTTTTTGATGGTCAATTTAAATAAAACAAAATTTTCCTTTTCTTGCTATTTATTTTATTATGCTTCTAAATCGATTTCGAGGAAACAATCCTCATCTTCAGTAGAATTGTCAGTTTAGTTGAAAAAATATATATTAATCATCATAATTTAACACATCCTCCAAAGTTAACTTCATCTTTTTATCCAAACTTGAAAATTTCTTACTTTAATAATTGAACAAATATAATAGAATATCAAATTCAAAACCAAAAGTTAAAATACACTTAAAACAAAATCCAAAATAATATAAAACAAAACACGCGTTTACATTTGACAAAAGATACGAAAAATCTTTTGATGGTGATTGAACTCACGAACCAACTCTAAAAAGAAGACACTTTAATTAATAATTGGCGATATTTTCATAAGGATCCTTCAAGAAATGAATTTTGTAAGTTATAGTTTTCTCAAAAACTAAAAGTTATTTTTCAAAACGGGTTGGTTCATTGAGAAGAGGGCATCTCTTATTAACACTTTGGGAAATTTTCATACTCACATTCCAAGAAATGGATTTTATACGAATTTTTAAAACTTAATTGGCGAAAACTGCAAAATTCGAACAAATTGTCGATCATTTCAAAAATTTATTTCTCAAAAACTAAAAGCGATTTTTCAAAACGGCTTATTGCATTAAAAAGAGGATACTTTAATCAATAATTGGTGATATTTCCACAAGAATCCTTCAAGAAATTAATTTTATAGCGAATTTTGAAAGTTCAAATATTGTTTTTTAAAGCTATTTTTCAAAATAGTTATAGTTTTTGAATAGGCAACCGGATAGTTGCCGGATATCCATTCCACCACTACTACATAGCATCTTATATTAGGATTAATATTAGTGTTATTCACTGAGTAGCAAAAGTCATAATGGAATCTTTCACCATGCTCATTAAAGAGTCAGCAAATGCATCTTGGTTTGCAATTCTACAACCAAGCATATTAAAACTCTTCATTAGGTGCAACTTAAGTGCAAACAAGGTTTTTGTATGTCAACCAAGTATTTCTGATGAAGTGTTCAAGAGACAAGCTATGAAATGCGCAAACGACACTCGGCTTAATAAAACCAAATCACGCATTTTTCAGTCTACAATTAAGTAAATATCGTTGCACTAGTGGGGTACATATTACTGGAGCTGTCCTGCGGCCGAGGCGTAATAGTACGTTGTCCAATATTATAAGAATTTGGTATCAATTGTAGCGCCTCGGCCACAAGCAACCTCAACTTATTAATTTTTATTCGTAAGTTAATCCAATATTACATGGACATGGAATTAACACTAACTGTCTAGGGTTTGACAAATTCTCAATCGAACCCTACTTATCTTAATCCACACCAACCCAATTTAAGTCAATGCAACCCATTCTAAGTCTACCCAACCCAACCCATCCCAACTCTATCCAACCCAACAATAAACTCAAGAAACACTTTATGTAAAAAACTACCTCATTTCATTTCTCTTTAGACACAGAATCCGTGCATTATTATAGACGATCAGTGGCGTAAATTTGTTAAATTGTTATGCTTTCACCCTTTTAATTTTTCTCTCTTCTGTGGAAGTTCATCACAAATTCTCTTCTTCCAGTTTTCAATATGAGTTAGGCAACATTGTTTCTTCAAACTGATGCTTCATTTCTATTTCTCTTCATTAAAAAGGGCACATGTAAAGACATCTACTTTCCGGCATGCAAACCAACAGAGATCTGATTTCAGTTTCCGTATCTTTGTCAGATACGTGGGGAATATTTCATCGTGTGTTAGAATTATGTGATCCTTTCTGCTGCTACAACAGTTCTTAATACAGATTTTTGCCAAACCAGTGCACCACCGCCTTTGCCCCTTATTAGCTGTCGGTTTTTGTTCGAATCCTTACCTCTTAGTAGGGTTCTACTTAACTTCTTTCGCCAACTTGAGTTATCAAAAGATTCCAACGCGCGCTTTCCCTTTTTAGAGCTGTTAGATTGTTTTAAAAATTTTGGCTACTTTTTCGGTCACATTTTTATGTACTCCATCATACGCAGCTCTTTGTCCAGCAGGATTGTTTATCGCCCAACTCTTATCTCTGTTCTATTAAATCTTCTCCTGCGCTCTGAAATAACCACTTCCGTTTTATCTTCAACTAGTTCTAGAGCAATTCCTTCACGATTTCAGATATTCTTTGTATACACTACCTAAGCTTGCCTTTTATTCTGTTCGTCTGCGTAGCCCGCTAATGACACATCTCCTTCCAATCTTATCCTCAGTACTTGGTCGTAAAACACATTCCAGAAAGTTCCAGAGTTGATGAAACCCAACTTAACTGATGTATTTACATGACATCATCACAGATTAATTAAACTCAAATCACTTAGCAATCACAAATCTGCATCTTAATCGGACTATGCTGACATACAAATCCACTACAAATGGATTCTACATCTACCCACTTTTAGATAATGTATCTAAAGCCAATTTTTCTGCAAATAAACTTTTAAGAACTACAGTTATAGAAATTCGGTTTGATACCATTTTCAATTTCACGATAGTCTTTTACATGAATCTTTCATTTTTTGAACATCGGCACTTATTGATTACTTCTTGTCCTTTCTAATCACTCATATTCTGATTATTAATTACTCATTAGATATAATGAGACGCGGTCATTTGTGGGTGTGACAACGCAATTTGATGACAAAATTGGTTGAACAGAAACCAATCGTGTTACGATAGTGTCACTACATTTTAATAGTATTATTAGAAAACACTTTTATTGTAATAATGAAGTGTAATGAGATGAGGTCATTTGCACAGAGGCGATAAAATTATGAACTTGGACTATGTCTCTAACTTCTGTTATCACGAATTTTAGCAGCATTTTGAGAAATTTGAAGAAGGAGCCAAATAGGGACAATGAGTCTAAAAAAATATCTAAGAAGGAATTCCATATTAAACATTTTCTTTGGTATTCTTTTCTCAACCAATCGAAACAGGAAACCATTTCAGCTATTTCTCTTCTATCTCCTCTACTAGAGCTTTTAAGCTTAGTTCTTCTCTAATTCTCTTATTTCGCACTCTGTCTCTTCTGCTATTATTCAATGATACTTCATCTCTGCTGAATCTAGTTTTGATTTGTGTCTGGAGATTTGTACCAACATTTCCAGTCTAAAAGTGAGTGTGGGTATTTAGATAGTTTGGTGTATACTATATGTATTTTTGCTTTAGTGCTGCTTTCTTAGCTACCATCTTTACTAATCATAGTTCCCAAATCATCGCAATATTCTTGTTTTTGTTCCTGTTTTTTATCATTCCTTTCTAATTACTGGGTTTATCCATGAACCCAACAATTCACTATCTGTAATTCATCTCATCCATTCGTCCATTATGGTCAATGCAGTTTTATATCGTAACAAAAGCTCAACCATAAAGAAGAGCTTACTTCATGAATCCTTCTTAGTCATAATTTCTGGAGCATATCAGGATACACTTAAATCTGCATTATTGGCATCAACGATAAACTTCTATCTTAAAATTCAAATTGATATCTAGACACTTTTCCATTATATTCCAGATTTTCTGAAAATCCATTCATAATTATATCATAATGAATATCTCAAAAACAATTCATTTGACGCAACGTTGGTTATCTTCTGCACGATTTTCCCCTACACGTTCGTATTCCTCCAATGTAGCACGTTTCTGATAAAATTATTATCGTAAGCGTTTGGCAAAACATCAAAATTTTCCATCTTTTTTCCAGATTATT